TTCCCGTACTTTCGGGAAATAAAAATGTACCAAAAAGTATCATAATATACGTTCTGGCTTTTACTACTCGGTCATTCTCTGAGGAATTTTCATTTAATTCCATACTTGCATAATGCCGTTTCAGGTCAGTGAGTAGTATTCCCTGCCCTCTTGCTCCACCACCTTCTACCATGTCCCTACCCAACAGTTCTTCACACTGTGAGTTGGGTTGTTGGACCGACCCGTTCACCGCCTTACCGTCGATAGGGAGGCCCAGTAGCATGTACACATCTTCGAGAGTGATGGTACATTCACCTATTGGTAGGTGAAATGTATGGGTCTCCGATCTCCACCTCTCCAACATTGCAAGAATGAATTTTGAGTCAATGGTGCAGTTGGAGATCTTTATCACGTGTCCAAAACCTGCATATTCCAGATAAGGGACGATAAATGGGTCGGGAGCCAGGTATTTGTGCGAACGGATTCTGAATCTTTGTGTATCCTGAGATCATAATTAAACAAGAGTAAGATTAATTAAGATGAACAACACGTTATTTGAAGTATGAAAAATGTATAACCAAAGAAGAGACTTACAAATGCAGCAATGTTTTCCCTTGTGCCTCTGTGAGTATCTCCCATTGTTAGAAGAGCCATTGTTCAGAATGCTTGAGAGAATGAAAGACTTAGGAAGAAATAGAGAGTATGATAGACTTAAGAAATATTTCGTAGCAGAGAGTGAGAGTTGTGTGGGTGTGAGAGATGTTTCATAAGGTATGTATTTATAGGAAAATAAGTTTGATGTAGTGGTTGCATGCCTGCGATGTGTCACATTTGCATGCTTAGGGTGTTACACATATGCATGCATGCATTTACAAAAAATGTAAGGTGTCACTCTTGCAGGCTAGGTGGCAGCCCATGCATGTATCACGATTGGACAGTAAGGGAGGCGCCATCTCACTTGGCGAAAGAGTACAAAAATGAATGGTGTCGCCACCCCATTTGGCGAATAAGAGGTGTCACTTTTTACAGCATTGGCTCAGGCTACGTGACAGCCTTTGGGATTCCTTTCTTTGTTGCATGCAAGGCCATTGGAGTTGATGGGTGGAGTCTTACACAAAACATTTATGTGTGCAGAATAGGGCCAGGCTAGGTGGCTGCATAAGCCCATGCATGTATCACGATTGGACAGTAAGGGAGGCGCCATCTCACTTGGCGAAAGAGTACAAAAATTAATGGTGTCGCCACCCCATTTGGCGAATAAGAGTTGTCACTTTTTACAGCATTGGCTCAGGCTACGTGACAGCCTTTGGGATTCCTTTCTTTGTTGCATGCAAGGCCATTGGAGTTGATGGGTGGAGTCTTACACAAAACATTTATGTGTGCAGAATAGGGCCATGCTAGGTGGCTGCATAAGCCCATGCATGTATCACGATTGGACAGTAAGGGAGGCGCCATCTCACTTGGCGAAAGAGTACAAAAATTAATGGTGTCGCCACCCCATTTGGCGAATAAGAGGTGTCACTTTTTACAGCATTGGCTCAGGCTACGTGACAGCCTTTGGGATTCCTTTCTTTGTTGCATGCAAGGCCATTGGAGTTGATGGGTGGCAGGCTAGGTGGCTGCATAAGCCCATGCATGTAATATTATTGGCAGCCTTGGGGGTTGCATCACTTACTTAATTGAAATTTTTTGCCTTACTGAACATAACATTCATTCACATAAACTGTAAAATTTTCCAACCTTCGAATCAGTCATCTAACCTTCAAACATTCCAGCATTCATACCTTCATACAATCAATAAACCTAAAACATTCCAACCTTCATACCTTAAAACAATTCTACACAATGGCCTCTTCACCACAATTTGTTGTCAAAGCACATTTCAACGGTGAGACATACATGTGTCCCACAGTTGGGTTTTTGTTTAGAAACACCGACAATGTTCGTTTTCTCTTAAACGGGAAAGCAAATTTCTCGTACTTTAAGAAAAGATTGGAGGCCAAACTTGAATGAGGCCCGGTATCCCAGATATTTTATCAGAGTCCAGTCTTTTTTGGAAACAACCAAGTTATTTTTTATAAGGTTGAAATTCAAGATGACGAGGATTTCCAGAACATGATTTCCAGCCATGTCTATTCTGGAAACGACTCTATTGAGTTGTACGTTTTGTTTCAAGAGCCTCCGGTGACACAGGAGGTAGAGCCTCCGGTGACACAGGAGGTTGATCCTTTGGAGAATGAGCAAGATGAGGTGGATGCAGTTGATGATGAAGAAGAAGATAATGAGTTAGAGTTTGATGAAATGGTGAACGACGATTCTGACGATGATGGCATCCCAAGTATTCCTACCGACAAAATTTACACACCACCTACGCACATGACAAACTTCAACATGGGCGGAGATGAACCTTCTACAGACTTGTTTTTCCAACCGTATATGCAGTCGGATGAAAATTTAAAAGAGAAGGACAAGTTTCGTAATAGAGAGGAATGCATAAGGGCCATCAAAAAATTTCACATGCTCAACTCGGTTGATTATAAGGTGGATCGTGTAAACCCGGAAAGGTACAAGATCAAGTGTGTCCACCCTGACTGTATGTTCAAGCTGACCGCTTCATACAGACTAAGGGGTGACTGCTGGGTCATAGGTTCTATGACTACCCATACTTGTGTAAGTTCCACTCAATCACAAGACCACCGAAAACTCAACCATGATCTAATCTGTCAAGAAATCCTACCCCTGGTCAGCAACGACCCTTCTTTGAAGGTGAAAACAATCATCTCCCACATCACCACGGTTTTTAACTACACTTCGTCTTACCGTAAGGCGTGGTTAGCAAAGACTAAGGCGATTGAAAGGGTGTACGGAAACTGGGAGGAGTCATACCGAGAACTTCCCCGCTACCTAAATGCACTCAAGACATATTCACCAGGTAGTGTTTATGTTCTGGAAACATTGCCAGCGTACGCCCAAGATGGTAGTCTACTACATGGCAACGGAATATTCAGTCGCGTCTTTTGGGCATTTCAACCATGCATCACAGGGTTTGCATCATGCAAACCAATTCTACAAATAGACGGGACTTGGTTGTATGGGAAGTACAAAGGCACGCTTTTGATGGCAGTTGCACAAGATGGCAACAATAACATTTTCCTCGTTGCGTTTGCCCTTGTCGAGGGGGAGACCGGTGGTGCTTGGAGCTTTTTCCTGAAAAATCTTCGTACACACGTGGCTCCTCAACCAGATCTCTGTTTGATCTCGGACAGACATGCCTCCATTGAAAGTGCCTATAATAATCCGGCAAATGGTTGGCATGACCCTCCTTCTACGCATGTCTATTGCGTCAGGCATATCGTCCAGAATTTCTCGAGGGAGGTCAAGGACAAAACATTGAGAAAAGCGGTGATGAATGCGGGATACGCACTGACACAGCCCACATTCAAATATTACCGCAACGAGATCCGTTTGTCTAACCCAGAAGCCGGTACGTGGATCGACAATATACCGGTCGAAAAGTGGACTAGGTCATACGACAATGGCCAAAGATGGGGGCATATGACAACAAATCTTATTGAATCAATGAATGGGGTATTCAAGGGCATACGAAACCTCCCCATCACTGCCTTGGTGAAATCCACGTATTTTAGGATGGCTGCGTTATTTGCCAAAAGAGGTGAAATGTGGTATGCGGTCTTGCAATCAGGACAACTATGGAGTGAAAGCTGTATGAAATACATTAAGGCTGAAAGTGCTAAAGCCAACACTCACATGGTTACACGGTTTGACCGCCATAGCCACAACTTCATTGTGAAAGAGACAATTGACCACAATGAAGGCCTGGCAAGACAAGAATACAGGGTCATTTTACCTTCTCAATGATGCGATTGTGGCAGGTTTCAAGCTTTTCGCATGCCTTGCTCTCATGTTATTGCCGCTTGTGCTCATACCCATCAAGACGCGCTTCAACTGCTCTCAAACGTTTATAAATCTGAAACGTTGCTCACTGTTTACAACAACAACTTTCCTTTGGTGGCAAAACCGGACTATTGGCCTGAATACAACGGTGATATAGTTTGGCACAATGACCAAATGCGAAGGAACAAGAAGGGTCGTCCCAAAAGCAGGCGCATAACAACAGAAATGGACGATCTTGACAGGTTGGAAAGAAAGTGTGGTTTATGCCGTCAGGTCGGACACAATCGCAAAAACTGTCTGAATCGGGCGTCTGGCTCGACCACATAAATTTTGTAATACAATAAATCTTTTCAATATTTGTGTTGTAAACATTATGGGTTTTCCGTTAATAAAACTGTTCACACAATTTAAGAAATTCAATATAGGAAATTACATTAGGGTTTTCGCGTACAACAATGATTAACGATATTCAATCTAGAAAATTACAACTGTTAACACAATTTCATCTGACCCATGCATCATCAGCATTACATCACTGTCTGTTTTGACTTCCTCCAACCACACATTAGGTCTTCCTGTCGCATGCGAGGTTGTTGTTCGTTTTCACTGGATCCTTCGAATTTTTTCCCCCTCGGCGATGTCTCCATCTAGCCACCGCATCAACTCCCGCTTCAGACGCTCCATGGAGTGAATGTGCCAGAATTTCATTTTCATCGCAGGTTTCGTGGCGGAGAATATAACGTAACCATCTCTGCTAAAAATCATAGGCGACGTCATTACGTAAATAAGGGAGTACAAAATAAAAATACAGTGCGAGAAAGTGTGAGAAATTTCAAAGAAACGGACGAATTATTTATAAAACAGCAAAAAACCCTAGTTTTGCCCTAGGCGCCAAGTGAGATGGTGCCTCCTCTCATTTTTAAGGAGCATGCGCCATCTCACTTGGCTAAAAGCCAAGGGAGGCGCCAAGTGAGATGGCGCCTAGGGCAAAACTCTAGGTGGAGGCGCCAAGTGAGATGGCTCCTCCTTTGTGGAGTAATCTGAAACATGGTTATTTGCGTAATTTTTTCCGAAACCCGGTTATTTGCGAAATATTAATTTAATACATGGTTATTAATAAAAAAAATTCCAATATTAGATACATCAGCTACACAAATTTCAGAACACCTTCGATTCCATGCAATGCAATGAAACCATTCCGAAAACCAAAGCTATGCCACTTGCATCAGCTCATCAGATTCACATTCAATTCTCCACTCTATCCATTGAATCTTCATCTTCACAATCACCAAACCAAATCTCTATCCACCGATTCTCAAGACCCAAAAACAACAACCTCACCTCCCAATCCCATCGATGCAGGTTCTTCTAACCGCAAACCCATCAGTTTATGGCCTGGGATGCATCATTCCCCAGCCACTCACGCTCTCTGGGAAGCAAGATCCATCATTTTTGAAAAACCAGTTAATGGCAATAGTGATCCCTCTTCATTTGATCCAAAATCTCCTTCACTGAGCAGGACTAGTATTTTGTATAATTTCTCTTCCGATCTCATTCTTCGTGAGCAGTATAGAAACCCCTGGAATCATATTAGGATGGGGAAGCTTGTCGAGGATTTTGATGCTCTTGCTGGAACCATTGCTTTGAAGGTTTTATTTTTTTTCCTTTTTTGAAAAAATTAAATTCTGGGTTTTGTTTATTACGCGTTTTGAATTATTGGGTTTTGATTATTTTGTTGAAATCGGTCACAAGTTTTAAAATTTTCATGTTTTTTTTTTATGTCTTGCGTGAACAGCACTGTTGTAATGAAGATGGTAGTACAAGGCCCCTTCTATTGGTTACTGCTGCTGTTGACAAGATGGTTCTTAAGAAATCAATTCAAATTGATGCTGATTTTACTATTGTTGGTGCTGTTACATGGGTTGGACGGTCATCCATGGAGATTCAATTGGAAATGATTCAGTCACCACAAGGTACTTACTAAGCTATGAAGCAATGGCGCTTTTGAAAAAAGATGTGTCTGGTGTCTGAAATTGACACCTGCATTTGTAATTATGTTTAATTTATTTATTTTTTCAAATTAATATCAGTATCGATGTGTAAGTGTCGGTATTGTGTTTCTGGTATCCGTCCTTTATAGTTACTAACGGCATAATGTAGATTGATTTTGTTTCTTTTACTATGTTTTCATATTACTATTGTTTTCATAATGTGGATATGTTTTGGTTGTTGGTATAGAGTGTGGAGTGGAGTGAAATAAAATAGTCTAGCGAGAATTTAGAAAATGGATGTTACATTGAATTTCCAATGGTGGGAATTTCTTGCATGTCATAGAAATTAGTACATATAAACAGTTTGATAGAAATAAGACGGTTTACATAGTGATTTTAACAAATAGAGAACTCAAAGTCTTAATCGTCTGAACTTGATCAACGACTGAGATCACTAACTGCAGTGGCTTGTGACGACAGAAAGACCATTTCGGTCTTTGAGTGCTTACAATCATCACACATGTTGCTAAATGTATGTTTTGTGTCATGAATTTAGCTCAATTGCGTTTCTTGTTTGTGTTTGAATAGCAGTAATATCAGAATAGCACTCAAAAGTTGAGCACAGACCAGTTCATAGTGTTTTAGTTTCATAGGCTCAAATCATATCTCTGTAATGCTATGCCTTTTGGTCATCCTATAATTTTGCATGGTATTGGTATCTATTAATTCTGACCCTATATTTAAATTTTCTAGCAGAGAATCCAAATATCTCAAACTCACCTGGAATTGTAGCTAACTTCACATTTGTGGCTCGTGATTCTAATACGGGAAAGGCAGTCCCAATCAACCAGATCACACCTGAAACCGAGAAAGAACGATTGCTCTGGAAAGAAGCAGAACAGGGAAACAAATTAAGGAAAAAAAAGAAGGAAGAAAATAAACACGGAGGGAATGGAGACAATGCCAGGCTTGCTGCACTATTAGCAGAAGGGCGTATCTTCTCCGATATGCCAGCATTGGCAGACAGAAACAGCATCCTAATGAAGGATACTTACCTACAAAACTCTTTTATCTGTCAGCCACAACAAAGAAACATCCATGGTCGTATTTTTGGGGGTTTTTTGATGAGAAGAGCTTTTGAACTTGCCTTTTCAACGGCTTATGCATTTGCCGGTGCAGCACCTCATTTCTTGGAAGTTGATCATGTTGATTTTTTTAAACCTGTAAGTAATCAACAAGGAAACTGTTTATTACAATACATAATTAACTGAGTTTTGTGCTGATAAGATTGTTGGTGTTAAGAATCAACAGTACCTTCTATTCTTATTTTCCAACTGTGAAACTCTCTTCTACAGAAACAGACAATCAAGATCACCTCATTTATGTGATTTTCTTCGAGAAATATTTTAAGCGTGACATTGAACTGAAAACAACTTGACGATGCAGGTGGATGTTGGAAATTTTCTTCGTCTCAAATCATGTGTTCTGTACACAGAACTTGACAATCCGGCTAGACCCCTGCTGAATGTTGAAGTAATTGCGCATGTCACAAAGCCTGAACTTCGGTCTAGTGAGGTGAGCACTGGCCTGGCCTTACCCTTATATATCATATTACTTGTTAAAAGTTTCTAGATACATATGACATCAAATTAAACAAAATTGGCGGTTACTCGATGAATGAGCTTAAATCCGATTATATATCCATTATCTAATTTTATTCTAATAGAATGCAAAAATAAACATGTCATTCTCATTCAAGACTGACATTCATAATATTAAGTCATTTCATTATACTGTCTTTCTTGAAACAGGTATCCAACAGATTCTATTTCACATTTGGTGTTGATCCTGATGCTATTAAAAATGGATTAAGGATCCGAAATGTTGTTCCTAGTACAGAAGAGGAAGCACAAAAGGTGCTCGAACGCATGGATGCTGAGAACTCTTAATTTTGTTCAATCATGATAGTATTAGGAGATAGAAAAAATAAAGCTTTGTGTAACTTTGTTCATTATGTTTCAATAGTTGTTGATTGAACTAGGAAAGCGAATATCAATAGCATGCTTTGTTGTTTCTGAAATCCGAAGGTACTTTTGCATTCAAACTTTGCCAAAAAGTACTTGACCTATTTTGCTGCTAAAATTAAAGCCTCTCATGTTTTTGAAATGTGAAAAATCAAGCATGGTATAATCATACTGTTTTGTAGTCTATTCTGAGACTATACATTAATTCACAAGGCTCTTAAATTGGTGTGTTTTGGCTATTTATGTGTCAGAAACCCATCATCTTTCCACCGGCAATAATGACAGTAAAGGATACAGATGATGATATTATTGTCCTTGACTCATGACCTATCTATCGTTGCCATTTACACTAACTATGGCAATGATACTATGGTCCAAAAATTCTAGTAAAAAATCCTACCAAAGTAAACTCAAATATACCCTTCATCATTGAATCAAATTGTACTTTTGACATGTAGGATTGCAACTGATGTATAACTCAAGCATAATTGTTGTTTTAGTTAACCCACCTAGTTAGGGGTAGGCATAAGTTACACAACAGTGAAATTGTGCATCAGTACACAAATGGGTGGTCTGCACAATGCCATTCTATCGCAGCTGCAGCCACCATTGTTATCAGCAGAGAAGCAATTAACAGAGCAGTGGACAGAGACAAAAGTACTAATACACTTGTTATATAATAGAAAAAACATGTACATAACTCTATAGTTACAAAGACATGTGCTAAGATAGCACGAGCGACTCTTCATCAAAAGGATGATAAAATTCAACCTTTCAATGATCAAGCATGTTAAAACTAACTCAGTCTCCAACCAGAATGGATTTATTGGGAGGTTAATCAGATTCTGAGGAATTAGATGGCTGCATAGCACTAAACTCAAGGAAAATTGGTGGCAGTGTAGTGATTGCAGGCGTTACATATTGATGTGAACCGACCAAAGTCCTCTCATTTGCTTTCCCAACTTGCCTGCACACACTGTCTAGTATTGAAAGGAAATCCTTTACAATCGTAAATATCCTAAACGGATGAGCTTCTTCCTTTTCCAAATTACCATGGAAATACTCAGTTATCTCCTTCACTAAAGCAAGAGCATATTTCTCTTGTGCCGTGATTCTTGAAATTTCTGTTTCCCCCCTCTCCAAGAAGCCTTTCACTGCCTCGGAAAACTTTTGGTTAGCTTCTTTCAAAGGTGACTCTTCATTCAATTTTACAACTCGCACAACCTTTTCGATTCCTTTGGCAAGTTTAGCAACATCACTACTCAGCGTGTCTGAATCCATAACAGCTGCCTTTTTAACATTGGCGAGCTCCCCGCTCAAACCCGACACAACTTGCAGTCCAACCTTCCTGGAGTCAACCTCATCTTGAAGTGTATATTGATGGTCGTTGACAGAGTCGGCATGAGAACCCGAACCCTCGGTTCTGACAATCTCATGTACAACGAAATGCAAAAGAGTAGTCTTTCTGTCAGTTCCCTTAATATCAACTAACTTCAAAAGTGTGTCCAGTTTGAATGCTTGTGCGTCGCCACGATCAGTGCCAACATTCATTCGATTTCCAGTTCTCAGCACCGCTTCAAGTATCTTCATAAACATTCTGCTATTCTTCAATTCCTCACAAGCCACCTGTGGCAAAAAAAAAAAAAAACCATGAGAACTGCAAGTACATAAGCACACATTGCAATGCATAACAAGACTAGAATAGAAGTTTAAAAATACAAGCCAATGTTTATACCTCCAGAGTATGAAAGGATTTCTTAAGATATTCTAATTCTGAATCAAAATTAGCAATGTAGAGCATAGCATCTACTCTCTTGAATGCAAAAGGTATATCAAGCATGACTTTAAGAAATTTCTCAGCTGGGCCTAGCTTGAAGGGTGAATCATCTTTAAACTCCTTCAGCTTAGTCTCTTCCTCTTTGGTTGGAGCCATCTTTAATAAACTTTCTAGAAGTTCTGTTCCCAATGTATCACAAGTTCCTAATGAAAGCAAAAAAGCAAACTTTAATATGTCACCAAATTAGAAAGCCAGTTACAAGGAAGAAACTGCAAAGCTATTTATTTCATGGTCACCTTCCCTGAGGGCTTCACAAACTTCATCAATAGTTACATTGAGTGCCCGGAGCAAAATGGCGATATTCTGCGACTTCTTAGGATCAAGCACCCTATTCTCCGGCGGCACAGGAGAAGAATGGATTATTTGATTTCGCGCTTTATCTTTAGAAGCCAAAGCAGGGTTTCCATTGGAATTATTTATCATAAAGAGTGTCTCAATCATGTCCTCATTCAACCTGCAACTCAACCCAATTAATTAACATAGCATATAATATAATATAACATAACAAAAATACTATGATGTTAACATGATTAGCATATAATATAATATAACATAACAGAAATACTATGATGTTAACATGATTATTTTCTAACAAAGACAAAGACTAAGTCAAATGATAATGATGTCAATAAGTATCTTACTGAAAAGAACTTGGTCTCAACTGATCCCAAACCATGGCCCTATCTGAGCTTGCCTTCACTTTATCCCAATGTAAAGCCTTCAACTTCGGCTTTCGAGTTTCATCATTAACATAAACATTTTCAGAAGCCACCGCCGGAGTCTCCCAAAAACTCCGAGGCATAGGCGGAGGAGCAGGAGGAGACAGTTTGGTTGCCTGAGAGTTCTTATCATCCCAATTTGTACGAAAATCTTCAAACCGGATTGGAGAACAAGAGGAAGAAGAAAAAGAAGGAGATGCAGGGTTGTGAGGAGGTAAGGATTTGACGCTATGGATGGGACTAAGATTGAGAGAAGGAGAACGAGAGAGTGAGTAAGAAAGAGGGTAAGAAGGTGTTCTTGAAGTGAAGCTTCTGCTACCAAATTTATCTAAATGAAAAACGTTGAATGAACGAGAGCTTGTTGCAGCAACAGCAACAGCAACAACCGGTGAAGAAGAAGAAGGTGGAGGACTCTGTTGTTTGTTTCCAGAAGGAGAATCTGCCGGAGAATAAAACTCTTCATCTTCTCTTTCTTTCTCTTCTTGTTTTTCTTTGTTCAGTTCAGTGGTCCGTGTTCTCACATGGTAACGTGGTAGTTTAGGTAAGGGATGAAGCTCCGGGGAGTCTGTGAGTTGGCGGTACGGCGGAGAGAAACCGTCATTGGCAGAGGTTGATTCTGCGGTAACTGTTGCGTCGTATGAACTTGCTACTGTACCGAGGTGGAATACCTCAGAGGCAGAGGAAGGTGGTTTCCCGTCGACGGCGTCTGAAGTGGCGGTGTTGGGCGGGAATAACCGGAGACTGTCTGACCTGGAAGCACTGTCGTCGTTTGCGGTGGTGAAGGAAGATGTATGGTTGTGATGGCGACGGTGGAAGGCGAAGATGGCAGATACGGTGAGGATGGTGATGGAGAAAAGACAGAGGGAGATAACGAGGGCAGCAGCGGTGCGGTGGGTGTGGGTTTGAGGGTGGGGGTGTGGGAGAAGTAAGGAGGAGATGTTAGCAGGGAAAGTGGCGAGAACAGGAGGAGAAGGAGGGAGTGGTGGAGATTGGTAAGTAGGAAAGAAAGGCTTTAGTGGAGGAGGATAAGAAGAAATGGAAGAAAATGGAAGCTTAGGTTGTTGTTGGGGTTGGGGTTGGGGTTGGGTTTGAGGTGAAGAAGACGGTGGTTGTGTTGGTGGAAGAGAGATAGACGGATAAAGTGGTTGGTGGAGGATACGACGGTGGTGGTGGTGGTGGTGGTGGTGGTGAGAACAAGCAAGTGATGAAAACAAGAGAATGATGATGAGTATGGTTAACAACATTGTAGACATGATGATAGATGTTTGAGAAAGAACTAGTAGTTGAATGTGTGCATTGGTTTTGGTTTAAGAAGGTGGTAGATGTGTGAAATCTGGGGGCGAGTGTTAAGAGACAGGAACTGTGACAGTGTTAGAGAGAATTGTTGTAGTGTAGCGGAGTCATGGTATGCTATCTAGCTAGCTGTTGCTTTCTCTTCCTTTACTACAATCTAATCTCTGAAAAGTTTTGATTTTTTCTTTGTCTTTGTCCTCATGCTGCTAGTGCTCACTTTTCACCCATTACAAAATTCAAATGCTATTTTCATTTTTATTTTACCCTGTCCTTTTTTTAACTACCAATGGTAGGGTGGACAACGGGTCAACCCGCTATTGAGTCAACAGTGCCAATTTTTGCTCCATTTTGACGGATTGGGTTGGTTATATCATAGGTTGCGACTTGTTTCGCCCCATTTATTCAACTTATTAAGATTATCTTTTTTTAGATTCAACTCATTATTTCATCTTCACATAAATTTTACATTGTATTTTAAATTTTAAAAATAAAAATACACTAAAAATTTAAATTAAGCAACATTTAAAAATGATATTATTGTAATATTTATATACTTTTTAAATTCAATACAAGAAAAAAGTTATAAATATAATTCAACTCTTAAATTAAATTGCACTTTTTTAATTACAATTTAAATTAATAAGGTTGAATCACTCGTTAAAAATTCAAAATAGGTTCATATTATCTTTGAAATTGTGATGCTAATAACATATTTAAAATAAATTAGAACATAACACTACACATAATAAAAAGCTAATTCATCACATAATAGTAACACTAACGACCTACTAGTTATTATTTCCATAAACAAAACTTGATTAATCCATCGATTATTGTGTCCTAGTGGTTTCTATTTATTACATATAAAAACAAACACAAAGTAAAATTTTAATATTCATTTGGATGGATTTAGTTAGTTGATGACCTATATAAATACGTTGAATCCGTCCATTTAAATACACTTGAAATTGAGATTCGAGTCTGATGAACCCTTAACTTGTTTCAGCCTAGTTCAATTCGATTATTTTTGTTGGACCGGTTTGCAGTTTATTGTCCACACCTATATATAGGTATTT